GGGGGAATCTGTGGTTGGTATGTAAAATGAATAAAAAATTTCTTAATAAAGAAAAAATAATAAAACAAAAAAAAAAATAGAAAGCAATCTACAGGGGGATGGTGTTCGTCTCTTCCTAAGCAATGCTTCTTTTGCTACAGTGTTGAGTTATGAGACAAACCTCAAACTGGTCCTCAAGCCTTATGCCATACACACTACAAAACAGAAGTCTTTCATCCTGGTGGTACTCCCTCCATTGTGTTGGTAGTTATTTTATATTAATCTTTCTTTCCTGTATTGATATTTCTTTGGGGAATCCCTTCTCCCCAATTTCAGCCCATGTTTCCAGTTACCAAAAATGAACACTTGACACAAGTCACAATGTTCAATATACTTCAATCCTCTGGTCATAGTGATTGCTTTGGTCAGACAAGTCAAGCACATGCTTCCTGGATTATGGGAAGCCAAAACAGGAGTGAGCTTATCAAGGTCTGGGATATGGGGATAAAGACCAGTGCTGGTAGTAATATGCAAGTTCGTGGGACTAGAACATGATCCCTGAATTCCGACTGGCATCAAAAAACACTAACTGTGTTGCTTAGCCACTCTGTTTCCTTCTGTACAAAAAGAATAATGCCTGTGTTTCCCTGTGACCCCAAAGTTCCGTGTGTTGGACCCTTGATCCCCACTGCAGTGGTATTGAGTCATGAGTGTCTTCCAGGGGGTAACTGAGTCATGTTGCACTGTCCTCATGAAGGCATTAAGTTATCACATGAGTAGGTTGATCTGTGTGGAAATGGGTTCCTTAAAAAAGGATGAGAGGCCCATCTGCTCCTGCCCTCTCAGACATCTCATTGTCTTGAACCATGCATTAGATGACTCAGTGAGAAGAAACTCACAGTTGCCAGCAAAGCCATCCTAGATTTCCCAAATTGCCTTCACAAAAGTAGGGAGATACATTTGTGTATGTCATATATTACCGTTTTCTGTATTTTGTTATAGCGTTACTAATGGAATAAGACAATAGTGGTACTCTATAATTCAATATTCAGTGTGATAATTAAGTGAGATAGTACACATAGGGCTTTGAATCATCACCTGAACATAGCAATCAACCTATAAATGTTAGCTAGGATATAAATGTTAGGTAACAGACATTTACCCCCCTCCCATGGCTTTGAAATTGGAAAGAGTAATAAATCATTACTTTTTTTTAAAAGGGGTAGCTTAAGTCAGGTTGCTTTTACTTGTAAAGGGTCTTGTTTAACATAATGAACAAAAAGCACAAATATTCAGAGTGTACAGGTTTGTGAGAGACTAAGTCTCTTTCTCTGGGTTAAGGAAGAGAACGGGGATTGAATCAGCTGATTCTGGGCCATCTGGCCTCCCTTACTTGAGGTCTATCAGTCATGTTATTGGAGGGCTCCACACCTATCCTCCATTCCTATTTATGAAGAGTTTTCCTTACTCTCATCCTATTTATGCTTCTATATATCCAGTTAATAATATCCTTCACTACAGAGAATTATTTTTAGACATCCATAAATGTACAAAAATGTGAAGAATCAAATACAAGGACAGAGCTAAAAATGAGAGAAAGTATTTCTGTAATGAAAATATATGCTTGGTTCATTTTATTTAAGCCCTGCACTGGAAACTTTTTTCCATAGTGGTTTAAAGTAAATACTATTATTACTAAGCAGCCCACATGCTAAACAGCATACTTCTCTTGGTGTAGATTTCTGGAGGGATATGCAGGGGATTTGCATGCTTAATTCCCATTAGCACCTGTCACTGGGATTTATTATCCCACAGTTAATTCTCCACTTACAGGAGCCAAGAAATAGGAAGCCCTTGTACATGGATTGAAATGAAGCCTTTTATTTTTCAAAAATGAGCTGCATTTCATGTTGGTTCCTTAAACACCTGCGGTATTCCAAACCTGAAAGGTCACATTCAGATACACTTTGGGTTAAATTTTATTCACATTTTGTTTTTATTCAACAGTTAGAAAAGCCTACATATCATTTGAAAATGCACAGGGTGCTTTTCGGGACTTGGCTCAGTTTTCAAATCCACTGGCTCATACTCCTCTATTCAATATCCAAGAAATATTTATTGACTATGTGCTAGGCTGTGTTCTATATTCTGGGCAGAGAATGCTGAACATAATAGGGAAAATATCCTCCCCTTGAGATGCGTACATTCTCTTGACAAGTATTTATACTTGCACATATTTATGGATGTACATACGTATATAGATGTATAAAATAAGCATTCAGATATGTGGGCAGATACGTAAAGTAAGCATTACTTGGAAAATCCAAGCAGGTGAAGGGAATGGGAGGTGATAACTTGTTTCTTCTTCCCAGAAATCAGTCAGAATCTTCTGTAGGCAGGGATATTTGAGCCCAGATCTCAGAGATTTACAGAGCCTGCACTCAGCAGCCTCTGAAACACTGCATTGTTTTCATGAAGACAAAAATGTGACAGTTGGTGACACTAGGCAGAGTGCTGGTACAAAGGCAGTGGGTAGCCCGCCTGCACGCTGGAGCTTTTCTCTTCACAGGCGCTCCCCTGCTCCCGTTCATGTGCTCTGACTCTGCTGCCTCCCCTTCATCTCTACACATCACTTCTCAAACCATTCTCCTGCCCTCTTTAGGCTGAATTTCAGTATTGAACTTCTTCCTTCCTCCTTATCGCTTACTGGTGCTTTTAAGGAATTAATTTCATGAAGTATTGACTGCTGAGTGCTTCAAAGACCCAAACAAGAGGGTATGATCATTTTAACCTTCCTCGGCTGCCCTAGACTTTGAAGATTCTCCCTATGTGAACCTTCAGCCAACCAACCCTGACTGAATACCAACTATAGATCAGGTTCTGTGCTAAGGATGTGGGATGGAAAGACTTACAAGGCAAGGTGTCTGTCTGCTTCAGATGAGTTAAGTTCTAGTTGGGAAAGACAGCCCAAGGAAGGATATAAAGAATAAATTAATAACTTTACAACTTTGCCATTGTTTGAGACAGGTTCTTTCTACATAGCTCTGGCTAACCTACAGCTCCCTATGTAGACCAGGCTGGCCTCAAACTTACAGAGATTCTCGTGCTTCTGCCTCCTGAGTGCTGGGATGAAAAACACGCACCACCACACCTAACACTTTACAACTTTTGGAGTCTTTTTTTTACACAACACTGAGTTTGCACAGAGGTTTCTCTCATGGACTTCAAGCTCTTATCCTTCTTGGGGAAAATGCAGAGAAAACCACTAAGTTTAATCAAAGTCCCTCTGGTGGTACTATTCGGGATATTAATGGGTTATCTGCACCATCCACCGTGGTAGCCATTGTCTCCAGATAGCCATTAACATTCAAATGATTAGTGACATAAAAGTTAAAATTGCCATTTCACAGAAGCCACACTTCTACTATCCAGATATACATGCGAACCAATAACTACAATTTTGGAGAACATAGACACAAACATATTCTCAATCTTAAGTGGAGACAATACTATTGAACAGAACTAGCTGAGGTAGCAAGAAAAGCTGAGAATATTCTAGATCAAAGAACAATCAACAAAGACTTTATGCCAGGCATTTTACCTGTATTTAACTCATTCAAACCTCACAAAACCTTATAGATCATTACTTCTAGTAGACCCATTTTACAGATTAGAAGAAAAGGCACTTGGCCTTTTGGGACAATGTCATCCCACTAGTAAATCCTGTGGATTGATCTGCCCATCTGGTACCAGCATGTGACCTCTTGCCTACATATCATGATGTGGCCATGTGGGTAAGCTAAAGAAAATTAAGCGATTTTAAAGTGTCAGGCAGAGTCTCCATGGAAATAAAAAGGGGCTAATTTTGTCAGTGTCTCTCCCAAGAGAGACCTTTCCAAGTCTATGAAATTCATCCAAAGCTTACATAATGGGGTAGGGGTTTCAGTGGAACTGGGCAGGCAAAATCATGAGGCATTAGCAAAGATCTAGGAGAATATTACAGAAAAAGACACCAAGACATGCAAAGGTTACCTGGCCTGCCCACCTAAACAGAGTTATGACTGCTCTTCAAATTAAACTTGAATTCATATTTTTTCCTCCCCCTCCTTCCTTTCTGCCCCCTCAAGTATGGGATGTGTGTGTGTGTGTGTGTGTGTGTGTGTGTGTGTGTGTGTGTTTACACATGGCTCCTTTTCCACTTTGAACTTAACTATTACATGATAAAGTATTAATTTTAAAATGCACTAATCTTAGAAATGAATTTTTCTCACAATGCTATCTTGTGGAGCATAACTGGTGTGTTCATACATTTGCCTTCCTTTTGTCTAGACTGGGCTCATTTTATCCGTTTATCTTCACATTCCTCCTTCATCTTCATATCGGGAATTCACAACCTAACCACACGCCCCCCTCCCACCCAATTCTTTCTGAATTATTGCAGATTTAGTCCTCACTCGCCGCTGTTAGGAATTTGGAGACTAATTCATAGGCTCCAACATCGTGTTGAGTATCTACAGATTTTGTTCTGCCTGTTTTCTGGGAGTTTCTCTTGGTATTGCCTCAGCACTCTTTATTTGCTCCATCTCAGCAGCCACCAAGATGAACAGGCAAAGGAAGCAGTACCGAGGGAGTTTCCATTGATTTTTAGTTTTTGTTCCATCGCAAATAGGTCACAGGCTCGCAGAGCATAAAACAGCCTGACTGGCGCTGACAGCCCAAAGATAGTGGGCTGGAGCACTGCAAACGCTTCTTGCCTTCTTTCCCATCTCTGAGAATAAGTTCCAGCCCGCCTCGGGCTTAATCAAGCGCAACTCCCCAAAATCCTAGCGCGAGTGCATTCCTGGGGCTTCTGGCTGAGGCTTGGCCGGCTCAGGGACACTGCCAGGCGGTGGGCTGAGCTCCGCTGGACGGGGCCAAGTGGCCTGAGGCGCGCCCGCAGCGCTGGCGGAGCAGGAGTCTGGCGCCCGGCAGGAGGCTGCGCTGCCCCTGGCCGCGGTTGCCTCTGCTTCCAGGTGTCCCTTGTCAGCGTTTGAGCGAGTGAGCCAGTGAACCCGGCGGACTCCACCTTCCACGCGAGGCGTGGATCTCACTCCATCCTCGCTTACATAAGGCGGGCGAGCGCGCTCCCGCCGCTGCTTCCCCCCTCGCGGAGTGGGGCCGCGCCCTCCACGCCTCCTCGGCGAGCGCCTCCCAGGACCCCCGCTCGCCCCACTCCAAGAGGCGACTGTCGCCCGACCGTCGGCGGGCGGGCGGCAGCCGGGGCGTCTCTCTCCGGCACAGGAGCGCAAGGACAGGAGTCAGGAGCGCCTCGCCCGCTCGCCTCTCCTCCCACTCTCGCCACCTCCCCTCCCCGGCGCCTGTGCGATCCCCGCGGGCGCGGGGACCCGAGAGCAGCGCCCGCTCGCTGGGCAGGCGGCGGAGCTGCGGGAGCGGCCGCGGTGGCCGCGCTGCGCCTCCCTGCATTTCCCGAGTGGGGGCAGAGCACTCGCAGGCGGGCGGGAGACGTCAGTGGCTAGGCGCAGAGGACGAGGGACCTTCAAACTCCTCCTCGGAGGCTCTTCTCCACCCCTTTTGGCCCCTGCCCTTGGAGAAAGTGGAGTGTGGCATTTGGCCTGCTGTTATTTCTCAGGACTGCCTGGCGGTGGCCGGATTCAGCCTCCTGCCCGGCGGGGCTCTCTGCTGTCTGCGCGTCTCCCGGTGGCGTTCCTCTTTCCCCCCGCACACCTCTGCCGACGATGAGGAAAGGTCTGCGGGCGACAGCGGCCCGCTGCGGACTGGGACTGGGATATGTGCTGCAGATGCTTGTGTTACCTGCCCTGGCCCTGCTCAGCGCCAGCGGCACTGGCTCGGCCGCTCAAGGTAAGGGGGTCCACAGGGCGCGGCGGTCACCTCCCTTTGCTTCTGCCTTCCCTCTTCTCTGCTTCTCCTTCTCCCCGGTGAGCCTAGCTTCCTCATCTGCTTGGTTGTCCTCAGTGGAAACCACTTTAAATTTCACTTTTCCAACTAGTTAAGAAACCAGATTTTTCAGTCTTAGCTCGGGAGATGGGTGAGGATGGACCCAGGGTGTGAAAGGAAAGCCACTGCCTCTGTGCCCGTGGGATCCTGGAGTGTCTTTTGCACTTTCAGCCCCACGCGCACACGTTGTTGCATATTGTACACATGGAGGTTTCCAAAGATCTGGATAGTGGCGGTGTGGTGTGCCATACATGTGCCCCGATATGCGCGGTATGCAGAGACTCCCCGCGGTGTGCGGTGGCTGGGCTTGCAGCATCTTCTCGCATTTCAACTAAGGAAATGTGTCCATTACTGCCTAGGACCTATAGGCGCCGGTGCCCCTAGACTGCTGGTGGGGCGCTATGGAGATGCTCAATTCGCCCAGAAAGGACAGGCTCCTGATGTGCCTGCCTCTCTCCTAGCATTCTCTCCGTGTTCCCCTCCCACCAGGCGAACCTTAGAAAACTTCATACCCACAGAGCCCTGGTGGGAGACTAGTTGTTCAGGCCAAGTGTGCAACTCCCCGGGAAGGGGCACTGCTAACCAGTTTATAACTGACATTTTAACGCATGTAAGCCTTGAAGAAAGTGTGCGGCGTCCTGGGCAAAGCCGGGCTACGAGGACAGTGATCCGGAGTTGGGAATGTGTAAGGGCAGAGAAGAGGCACCAAGACTGAGGGTCATCCTGGGGGTGTCCCTTCTTGCTCATTGAGTTTTAGAGGGTGGTGCAGCTCCCAGCATTTTGGTCTGGAAAGTGGATAAAAGAAAGGCAGTGGAAGAAGGTAGATTTCCCTTTCTGGCATATCTCCGGTCACCAAGACATCTAATCCAAGCCCAGTTCCTACCCGAATCTTTCATCCATTTAAAATTTATTTATTTATTTATTTATTTATTTATTTATTTATTTATTTACTTATTTACTTATTTATTTACTTATTTATTTAATGCCTATAGCCAGGAAGCAACATAGCTTTGAGAGATGCAGCAATTGAGAAGCAGTTCAGAGACCTTCCCTACACACCCACCTACCCTCCACACACAAATACGCGCGCGTACGCGCGTGTACACACACGCACACACACACACACACACACACACACACACACACACACACACACGCTTCTTTTATGAATTTAGAGAGCAGAGGAGACCAAGCAGTAACACCGACTCTATCAATGATGCTCATGCACTGGTTTTTCCCAACTGCAGACTTACGTCTCCTAAAATTTCAAGGCACTGGTGCAGGAAGTGGGTGAGGAAGGCAGAAGGGAGCCCCTAGGTCAGGCAAGTCTGGTGCTCATGGAGAGGTGTCATTAGCAAGACAGTGTGACTCAGAGAGAGCCACTTAAGGAGTATGGGTTTTTCCTGCTACACTGCTAAGTGGCCATGCTCATAAATCCTTCCTTCCCTTTTGGACGGACACCTCCCATCCCTTGTGGGTCAGCACTGGTTATCTTACGCACACCCCCAAAGCACATCTGACCATTTTCAAGCAACTCTGTGTTGGAAAGCCTATATTTCTTGAAATTGGTCAGAAGTTCTCAGGACGCTAGCCAGGAATACTTAGAGGAGGATCTTAGAAAGCCTAAGTGAGCAACCTGATGAACAGTTCTGGAATCAGCTATGTGACTCCTGCTGGAACTCCTTGTCATTACTGGATGCACAAAGGACTAAGCCATTGAGGTTGGAGGGGCAGGGTAAGGGAATGGTTTGGCAATAGGCAAGTTAAAGTCCCCAAAGATGCCAAAAGGAGGCAGGATCCCTGTGGAGAGCTTACAAGAGCCAAATTAAAAAGACTGGGTAGGAGAAGAATCGATTGAGATAATCAAACAGGGGACTGTAAGTGGATTAATATTGAAGGAAGGGAGCAGAGACCGACCGAAAGGAAAGGCACTCCAGATACTCTTTGCCTCTTGCACTTTTTCTTCATCTACACCAGACAAGGCAAAGGCTGAGGATTAATTCTGATCTTAGGCAGCAAAAGAAAAGCAGGTTCGGCAGGATGTGTGTGCTTTTGGTGTGGTTTTTCTCCATTTACTTTAGTTCAGGGAGAATAACATTTTTTTTCCCCTTCAAATCACATGGTCTGAGATGCAGGACTCCTACTTTTATCTTTGTTATCCTCCATGTTCCAGAACACCAGCTCTTCCTGTGTTATCTGGGAGACATCAAAGGAAGTGTAAAGCCCAGAAATCTGCTATCAGCTACTGTCCCTGTGGCTGCTACTCATTAGCCAGGCCTGTTTACTACTGACCTGCTGTTAACACTTCTCAAGTCATTCACTGTAGGATGGTCTGGGAGGCAGGCTCCCATTTCCTCCACTGTCTCCTTTCTCTTCACTTTGCACTAGAGCTCCCACACATACCCTCAAGGTGCCATTTGTGTGTTCTGATGTCTTAATGACCCCAGTGGACTATTTTTATGAATGGAAGTACATATGCAATTTAGAACAGGGACAATCACAATCATTAAGTACTTTACCATGTGAAGGTTTTTAATCTGTTGGGGCAGTACTGTGAAAATGAGAAGGTTTTGAAAATAAATATATATTTAGTTGAAAGCAGTCCAGTTGGAGAGAGAGAGAGAGAGAGAGAGAGAGAGAGAGAGAGAGAGAGAGAGAGAGAGAAGAGGGGTTGCTTAAGATAGAACAGAGAGAGTATTATTTGTGAGTGAACAAATTTTGCAACTGTGGTTTAAAGACAGACAGCAGTCATTTTAAACAGGTCCTTGGGAAATTCTCTAAGCTGGAGGCAACAACTTTCCCCTCTCTGCGTGTGCTCTAATTGTTTCATTGAGGATTGCTGGGAAACCTTCACTCCAGGGAATTTTCAGGGCTCCTGACTTCCAAGAATGAAAGATTTTTACTAGGAAGAGCAAGGAGTGTGTCTGTGTGTGTGTGTGTGTTTGTGTATGAATATTACCTCCTATTATGCCACCCTTACACATCATGATGTCTCTCTTATCTGCCACCAGCTAGTGTTATGTGTGCTAATACCTCCAAATTCAGACCAGAAAATTACTGAAGACTCGTCAGGAATAATTCTCATTGCGTTAATGTATAGTGTGTTCATACAGCAAGTGACACACTTCTCCCAGAGAGGAGGAAAGAATACTTTCAGGACTTCATGCATGTTGCTTTGTTACAAGCAATCAGTGGGCTTGGATGACAACAGAATTTGATTGTTATTCTTTCATATACTCCTCGGGATGACAAATTCATGTACTCACTTGGGAGATTTACAATAAGGGAACACTGGCAAGTTGGCCTTTGTTAGACAGGTAATCCTGTGCATTCTAACTTAGACAGTGATTAAAAGCCTTCAGAGAACAAACTTTCCAAGCACTGGCTTAGGAAAGTGAAATGAGGACTCATGAAGGAGTGCGGTTGTGTACTCCTGTAAGATTCCCACTGAAGGAGGCTGAGGCATGAGGAATGTAAGTTCAAAGCCACCCTGTACAACAAAGCCAGACTCTGTCAATAAAACAAAAATTAGAAATCATTCTATTAAAAAAAACCATCCCAGTTAAGAGGGAAAGATTATTGAAAGTGTCTATCTTTGGTGCCTTGGGAACAGATCACCATTAGAATTCATAGCAATATATTTTAAACTTCCTTAAGGATATAAGGGAGGCATGAACTGTACTAGGCTAACCCTCTTTACTTATTTAGTGTTATTGTTGAGACTTAAATGTAACTATCCTCTGATATGTGCTGTATTCTTCTGTTAGCATGAACAGGGAGAATGTGCTCCATCAGCCTTAACTGTGCATAGCAGTTTTCTGATTTAGGTCATGGCTTTGCTGGAGCAGCAGAGGGAGTCACTCTCAGGAGAAATTCTCAGAAGAAGTACTGGGGGCTGAAGCCATTTCTGGAAGCTGCTGGTGGTAGAAGTTGGGCCTAGACTCTAGCCTTGAACTTTCATCATAGATTGCATTTAGTTGACCCTTGTCAACTAAAAAGACAATCTGCATTGTCTTTTTCCTGCACACTAAACTTTTGAGCTCATTTGAGTAGAGGGTGTACTAGAAGTGAAGTTCCTAACAAACAAATAATGTGCACTGGTATTATGTCCCAGACTGTATGCGACTTAAACTTGAATAAACTGTCTTCAACCTCAGGGCAGACCTGTCAGCATATTACTTTCTGATCTATAACACTGGGTGCAGATATGTCCCTTGTGTCAAGGAGGTTAAGATTCTACCATGAGTGATGGTGGTACTGGGGATAGTTCCAACGTTTTGTACATAGAGGATTCATGGTAATGATTTGGTTGCAAGTAACAGGAAGGGGACACTTGGGGGCTGAGCCAGTCGAGACATATAGTCTCATTCATTCTTACCCCCTCTTCCATGCTGGCTGTGAACTCACGATGATCCACCCACCTCAGTCCCTACCCCATACCATTACTGGGATTACAGTTGTGCACCACTATGCCTATCTTGGAAGTGGGATTTTCCCTAAATTTGCATTTCAAAAGTATTACTTGTATTCAGATCCACCCACCTTTTGGTAATGGGGATTGAATCTAGGTCCCTGTACATGTTGTGGTAGGCAAGTGCTATGCCATGAAGCTGTAGCCTCACTCTTGTTTACTTAGAGTCAATGTCTATTTTGTCTGGCTTTGGGGAGGTACAAGCTAAGAACTGCTAATACTGTGTGCCTGTTGTTTTAGTTAGCACAATGCCTCATATTTCTCCCAACATCTACTAGCAATGTGACCATGCTTAAGTTATTTTACTTTTCAGTGCCTCAGTTTCCTCACATGTAAAATAAGAAAATGCATACCATAGGTCATACTAGGGTTGAATTAATATATGTAAATCAACTAGAACAATAGATACCTCACAGAAAGTATTATGATTCCT